GTCAGACTCAGACCTTTTAGGATCACCTGCTCATATTTTCACCATATTCAGCTGGCCTAGGGAGATGTCTAAAGCAGCCAGTGAGAAAAGATTATTCATACTTTTAACATTTCACTGTATACCGCGGTACAGATGCATGTACAGTACCGCGGTATACCGCAAACTATTTTGCACGTTTATATATGGAGACTCTCTCATAGTTTGATTTCATGATTAGTAAACCATATTGAGTTACAAATTAAAAAAAATCAAGTAATGAAAATTGTTGTTTTGTTGTTGTTTTACTGGAACCAAAGAACTAGAAATAAGACAGAACAGTGTAACACAACAATTTAACAACATGCAGATTTTTGTCAATCACTAAATGATTAAATCTTTCTTCACAAGGTAATGGAGGTTAATTTTGCTTAGCAATATAATGTAAAATTCAAAATATGACAGGTTCTTGTACAACCTTATGAAACATGTTAAGCATGTACGATTGCCCTTTGTTATTTCATTTAAAACTTCAAAGAATCCTCAATACTTGCTTAAAACTTTGCTGAGACAAGATATTCTATATTGACTTGAAAAGCTTAAGACAATCTCACAAAAAAATAAAAAAATCAAAGCACGTCTACTGGTAGTAATGGAATTAAAAACATGATCAAGACTTGACTTCCTTCCCGACTAGAGTTACAGTAGAATCAGATAAACTGGAAAAAAACAGCACGTTCAATGGCTCATTGAAAATAAGTATGTAACGTACCATTAACAACGTCAATTCTAAACAACCCTTAATATTATAACAACCGTACCCCATGGATTTGTAAAGAAGTATCTGATGACAATTTTCTGATTCTCCGTAAAAATATATGGACACTCTTAGAAATTAGAATTGCCTCCACAAAACAACTCTAATAAATAACCACATGTTTTTCTGGAGAAATAAGAAACAAAATCCCGGTGTTATCATCAAATACTCCTTTCAGCATGATTTCTGAAATCACGTTATATTTCTAAACTTACTAACCAATGATATGTGGGAAATACCTTTAGTATGAGTTTTTTTTTTACTCACCCTTTTAAAGTTAACGACATTTTTATCACAGTTATCGACATTTTGTTCTTTGAATCAAATTTGATTTTATTAATGTAAACAGTAGAAATTTTGTTAAAATCGACAAAATAAAACTGCTGACGGAAATTATCGAGCATACCGGTACAGTCTAAAACGTATCTCGTGAATCAAGAATCTTGGTTTAGTGGTATACTGGTTTTACTGTGCAACTCTAATAATGTAACAAATATGATTGTTTTAAAATACATTTGTTGCATTTTAATGCTTAAACTTATTCAGTTATTCTGAAATGCATTTTAATTTATTTTACTCATGCTTGAAAAAATAATTATTTTTGTAACTAACTTGATGCACTACATCAAGGTGTCTCAATGAATATAAAAATAATAGCCTTTATAAATATTGACCAATAAACCCTGGTGCCAAAGATATTTTAAGGGCCTAATTAATGTGTATTGCAGGTTTTTCAATATCCCCCGAAACACAACCATTAATTATTATCATTGCTCTTATTACAGTTGGCTTTACAATGCCAATTATGTATATTTACAATAAAACCACACATTATGAGCAAATGCAACCTCTGAGATCTAAGGAATGAGAAACATTTGTCAAATGTATCATTACTTTTGAACTGTTTCATAAAGTCAGATGGTTAAAAGTCAGATGAGAAAAGGCTCCTGCATAGCTATCAAAGATGATTAAATTAAAATTGTATTTAACATTCAATTTTAAACCACATTTCAAATCAGATATACTAGAATATAGGCTATAGTTGTAGCTGAATCCTGTATCTGGGAGAAGAGTCCCTGAGTCTGGACTGGCTCTCTCCTGGATCTTCTTCTGTTCCCCCATAATCATTAAATGATTAAATCTTTTTTCACAAGGTATCGGAGGTTAACTGTGCTTAGCAAGATAATGTAAAATTCAAAAGATGACAGGTGCATGTAAGATGACAGAAGAGTCCCTTGCCATGGCTTTCCTGTGTTTCCTATTCCTGAAGATGATGAAAAAGTCCTTGTGCCTGGGTTGGACCTTTCACTGTCCTCCCCTGTGTTCCCAGCCCATAATGACAGTCTGAAAGTGCCACTCTTCTGGCCCTCAAATAGCAACCATGTTCTCCCTCTCTCTGCCTGTTGCTCCATGTGAAACTACAGAGATAAATCGACATCCATTAGCTTCAATAATAGAATACCACTTGGATTTGGTTTTAGCAAGTGTTTCTGAAGTGTGTAAATTCATCAGGTCCAGAATGATATCGATACTTTAAAACGTCCGCACTATGACGCCTAACATCTCCCTTCATAAATTTACCTGCACCTGTTTTAGAAAGTATTTCATATTGTCATGTAATACATTTGACAGCCTTTTGTTTTATTTAAAAGAGATCAGAGATTCTAGTGCTGATTTAAGCCTTTTATAGCTAAAAATGAAGACTGAATTTAAACGGACTAAACTGAATTTAATTAGAACAATATTTCCTACATCCACAATCCCGACATTAAAAAATAATTTGCAGAAACTATTCTGATCTTTATTCTGCGACAAGTAGGAACAAAGTTTTAAAATCCTGTGTTAGTGACTTTTGTGAACCAAGATTTATCCAATGTGGGGAAAAAAAAACAAATCTAACAAGGTTATTCAAAAAAAGTCCATGCATGCACACTTGCTTCAAACTTCAGACAGCAGAAAGTAATAGGCTTCTTGAGCCCGATTAATGCTATCAATAATAACCAGTCTTGCCTTCTGCAGGAGCTTTCTGAGTTCTTATTTCCAAGGTAACAGATAAATATAGACCCACTTATTAATGATAGACTGAGACCTTTCTGTTTTGTAAAATAATAATAATAAAAAACATATGCACCTTAGTTATAAGTGGCTTAGGAAGAACAAACAAAAAACAGTACAAGGTGTTACAGAGCATGAAGATGCTATTCACGCTGTAATGCAGACATGTGATACTATGTTGCCAAGTGTTTGAGAATCAGAATCACCTTTACTCACCATGTACATTTCATGTACACTTGGTGCTGTAAAAACATACACATCAAGTCTAATAGACATCATTCAAAAAATGCACATATACCTAGAAATTCAAAAAGACAGCCCTAGGAAAGAAGCTGTCAAATACCGGGTGGTTCTGGTTTTAATGGGCCAGTTGCATCTTCCTGAGGAAATTTTATAAACAGGTGGCAACCTGGGTGGGAGGGTCATCAGCAATCATTCTTGCCTTCTTCTTTGCTGTGGAATTGTACTAATCATCAATGAAGGACAAATGACAGTCAATGACCCTCTCCGAAGAGTGAACAACCCACTGCAGTTTTTCCCTCATAATGGGCAGAAGTGTCGTCAAACCAAACAGCTATAGAAGCATAGAACCAGTCAACAATGGCTCTGTAAAACAGTATCAGAATTGGTTGAGAGACACTAAAGTTTTTCAATTTGCACAAAAGTACATTCTCTGCTTTGGGAATTGGAGGTCATAATCCCTAAGAACGTAAAGGACTCCACCACACTCACAGGCACATCACTTATTATCAGGACATGGAAAAAGGTTTTGGAGAATGTTGCCAGAAATCAACCACTATTTCCACTGTTGCAAGAGTATTTAACCCCAGGTTTAAACTCCATGTGGTTGTTAACACATCATGATACCAATAAAATCACCTCTTTCCTGTACACGATCTTATCAACATTAATGAGACCTAAAAGGCTGATGTCATCCGCAAACTTAGTATGAGGGAAGAGTTGCTAGAACTGCAGTCGTTGGTATACATGGAATAGAGTCATAGGGAAAGCACACATCCTTAAGGTACACCAGTATTCACAGACAGTTTGACAAATAAGGGCCTAGCCACAGCGGTTACCATCAATCTGTCAAAAAGGTAAAAAGAAATCCACTGATGGAAAATGGAACATTCATCTGTAACAATTTATTGTAAAGGAGTTCTGGTAGTATTTAATGCAGAACTAAAATTCACAAAAAGAATCTGTGCGCATGCGCCTGAGGATTCTTGATGTTGCAAAATGTAGTGCAGGCCCATGTTAACAGTTCATCTATTGACCTTTTGACCCTATATGCAAACTGAAGAGGATTGAGAAGTGAATCTGAAATAGTTTTGAGATAGTGAAGTATCATACTTTCAAAAGTCTTCATTATAACGGAGGTAAGAGCAACAGGTCTATAGTCATTAAGACAGCAGCCATATCACTCTGCAACTCACAACTGGCAACCCACTGAAGCTAAGAAGGTGTGAGCCTGGTCAGTACCTGGATGGGAGACGTCCTGGGAAAAACAAAGGTTGCTGCTGGAAGAGGTGTTAGTGGGGGCCAGTAGGGAGCGCTCACCCTGCGGTCTGTGTGGGTCCTAATGCCCCAGTATAGTGACGGAGACACTATACTGTAAACAGGCACTGTCCTTCGGATGAGACGTAAAACCGAGGTCCTGACTCTCTGCCAAAAATCACGGGGCATTTCTCGAAAACAGTAGGGGTGTAACCCCTGTCCAAATTTCCCATTGGCCCTTACCAATCATGGACTCCTACTAATCCCCATCTATGAATTGGCTTCATTACTCTGCCCTGATAGCTGGTGTGTGGTGAGCGTTCTGGCGCACTATGGCTGCCGTCGCATCATCTAGGTGGATGGCACATTGGTGGTGCTGGAGGGGAGTCCCCATTACCTGTTAAGCGCTTTGAGTGGAGTGTCCAGAAAAGCGCTATGTAAGTGTAAGCAAATATTATTATTACTATTATTTATTACTATTATTATTATTATAAGCTATTTTGTCCTTTTTGTTGAACGATAAGGGAGCATTTAAAGACTTGCAAGAGCCTCTAAACCTCCCACTCTTTGGTAATTAGAGAAGGTTCAAGAGGAGAGGAGGGCATTGAGAACTCAATGTGTGCTAGTTGCAGCTGAAGGGAAGGGGAAAGCATTTCACTCCATAGTACGTTATGTAACTCACTAGGTTTTTAACAGTCTTCCCAAATTACATTCGAGGAATCATTAACAAGAAGAGGTGTCAAGAAACAAATGTTAGTTCAGTATGAAACATACTATTAAAGAACTTAGAATTAAGCATTTCACCTTACAAAGTACTTATTTTATTAATATCTAGCTAAATTAAGCAAAGAACATGAAGAAATAGATATGGAAATATTCAAATCCTTTACAATATTATCTTTTAATTTCAAATCTGCAATAGGAATAATAATAACTACAAGAGGAATTCTCTAGTGATGGGACACTCTTGTCAGACTAGCATACTGGGACCTTTTTACTAACTGGTCTTTCACACAAAATAATTAGAGAGTCATTTTGAACATCTGTGCTTTAGGTGTTATACTATCACTTAGAGTGGTCACAAAACCTGGTTCCAGAGTCCAGCTGGGGGGGACTTAGTACAGCCTCCATCAGGAAGGCTTTGTTCTCTGTTCACTGTGGTTTTCCTTCTTGGTTTTCACCAGAACTGACATTCAGAGGGTTGAATCACATCATCACCTGTGTCCAGTCAACTCTTACCACTTACGTGACTGAGTACTTACACAACAAAGTCACTCAGCATTAAAGTTCTGAATGATCCATTGATCAAAATTATACCCCAAACTTTTAAGAATTCGATTTTTTTTCTAAAAACACACCTGCATAAATAGAGTGCATTTATCTTAATGCTTGGCATACTATCATTTCCTTTAGCCAAGATGGAAGCATTATTGGTGCAGGCAATTGTTTTTGTTTGAATACGCTGTATTTCATTTTTTGTTATTTCATAAAATTTAAAGGTACTGTGGCTTTTGTGAGAGCATACACCCATTTGGAGCACATTCCCCAGAAACCTCAGAGGAAAAGAGCTGTTGCTCTCAGTTGTGGGAAGGAAATTGGTCAGGAGACCATTCAAAAAAGCAGTAAGAGGAAGCCTCCAGACTGTGGGAGTGGATGTCTGCTGTCTGAGATGCAGCGGGCAGAATTCCTGTGTACAAACATTACCTAGGAGCATCGGATCTTGCTTTGGTTGTTTGGCTGTGGTATTTTTTATTTATTTTTGATTGTGAAATAAACTGCACTTAAACCTTTCAGTTCGGCG